GCTATTGTGTTAGTTTCACATGTATTTATTAGACGCGGTTCAGGAGAGAGTGCTGGTCAAAGCAAGATATTGAAAATGACTTTTTTAAACATCATGACAGTTCAATCCCAGAACTGTGTGGTAGAACAGGTTCATGGGATTTTTTTCGTTTTAGATAAAAATGCGGAAACCCTAATTATGCACTTATTTAGGATGACCCTAATCCTGACTAGTTTTAAAAGATTACATGGCACTTTTTGAAAGAGTAGGGGTGTTAACCCTGGTATCCTGGATAAATTCCACTGGGCTTGTACCATTTGGCCTTCCTAATGTCTGCCTTTAATTCAATTGGCGAAGCAATTACTCACTTCTCTACCTAATAATGGGTGTTCCTTCATTGATGGATGAGTTCCTTCCTATATGTAAATACAATTGGGTCCTTTGGGAAGGTAATATATAAATCCACAGAATCATAATTATTATAATTTGTTCAAAATGTGTAGTATTTTTATTATGTATTAGCAATATAAAGTAATATAAAACCATGGAACAGGCTTAAAAAGATTATAATACTGATAGCAAATATAAAGCTTTAAAGAAAGGGGCAAGCAATTGGGTAATGTTGTGTTTTTTTGTGTACAGCATCCTAATAACTGAAAGTACTGTTTTCTGGGGAGATACATTTGAGGGGAAATGGGGAAACCCTTAGTGAGCCTAACCTATCAACTTATTTTTAGAATGTAAATAGCATTATGCATGTGCCCAGTGAGCAACTGATATAAAATATAGACTGAGGCATTTCATTGTTCATTAATACATGCAGTAATTGTTTATTAACAGGCAAAAATGCTACATGCTTTAGTGTAATCAGGAAGGAAGATTAGTAATTATGGCAGGTAATTACTACTTTCAAAATAATTATATAGGATTTATAGTATATATACAATTAAAAATGAATTTTAAGATGTACTCTTTTTAATCGCAAGCAAAATTATAGTGAAAGTACAGTTCTTCAAAATATAACTTAGGGACAGACAGGATGCTAAGAGTTAATGAAAACAGTAATTTTGAAAAGGAAACAAATGTGGGAGCTTAGCATCCTTGCAATGATTGCTATAATGTCTAAAGCTGTGCTGATATATTAAATGTGACAGGCTGCATCTGGTTTAAAGAGGATTTCATAACTAGTGAATACAATCACTATTTAAGTGTTCAGCTGTGAAGTCCAGACATCAACATGACTTGTAATTGGAAGGCATGATCATGTGCCCACAGTGGCTGCATACTGGGAGGTAATAATAAAAGGCTCAGTTTGATCGCTGGCTGGCCTTAAAACCTGTAGAAAAGGTTATACTGTAATTTGGATATTTTTTTCTGATTGCAATCTAGTCATTTTAGTATCTTGTAAATGTAATAGTTAAGGTTTATTACAACATAAAATAGATTAATTGATTGCATATCTATTTTTGTCTTCAATATTCCCACTGCCATATCTTCACTTAAATCTCTCAAACGCCTGAAATGAAAGTAAAAAGAAAAAAAAAACGTATTTAAAAGACGTTTTAGAGCCTATATGTATTAAACACTTACATTTTTTATTATTTTTATTTATCTTCCTTCTCTACTCTTTGTATTAGCTGTGTGTCCTATATGAACAAAGAAAAGCTGTACAACGTGTTACGTATAACATAACAGTAAAGAAATTCAGTTTGTATTTTATAAAATCTTATTTCGGAAGTTTTGGGATTTTTGAATTCACTTCTTGTGAGTGTAGTTGTTCTGATTTTATCTGTATCTATTTTTGAAGATTTATTTCATGAGGGACTCATGCATCTGGTTATGTTAGACTCATGGAGGATGGGAGACTGACAGCTCTGCTAAGTAAATTTGCCTGTTCCCCCTGACATCCTTGTGAAAGACTGAAATACACAATCTTCTCATACTAATGTCCATCAGCTCTGACCCAGAGCTCCCCTGCATATTTTGGGTTTAGAAGGTAATTAAGTCTCCAAGATCTGTACAAGACAGGCTGACACCCAGATTAGTCATACATCACATTTCTGTTAATACAGAAATACATTATATATATGGAACAATAATATAATTTGTATACTGATGGATACACGTGTGAAATTCTATTCTATTCTATATCTATCTTGCTGTACAACACTTCAATACAAAACAATAATGTCAAAGGCCATGTAAAGTGTTTTTTTCATCCTTCTTTCATGTAACCTCAAGTATCTTTCTTTCTTGTTTCTGGAATAAGTGATCATCTGCCAGTTTTACAGTGAAAAGATTTGCATTATAAAAGATAATGCTTTACATGATAATGTGTATTGCAGTATTTTGTGTTAGTATTCACTTCTAATCTGTTCAGAACAAATATTTACTCTAGTGCCTGAATTAGCAGGGGGAACATTCAGGTGCATCTTTCATTAGTAGTAAAACAGTTAAAAAATAGTATCTTAATTCAGAATATGTGGGATTGTATTTTATGGATCCAACAATAAAATAATTATATAAAATATCTACTAGACCAACAGTACTAGACCAATGATAGGATTATTTTAAAACAGATTATTTTCCAAAGGCAAAATGCCTTCATTGAAGTCTTTCAAGCACACATTTCAACCCATTTGCAAAGCTAAACAGAAACCAAGGAAAGCAAGCAATATGGCATGCACTCAGATTGCTTCACAAATGTTATATAAAATATAAAACAACTTAAGTGATTTCTTGTGATGAGATAAAGTTTCCCTTAATTATGATAATTATAAAGTGATTGCAAGACAAACAATCCCATTTAATTCACAATTATTGGGACAACACAATGCTATATTACTTATTATTGCTTTAGAGTCAATTTGAATTTGTGATGATGATATTAATATGAATAAGTACAATGTAACATTTATTTTGGTAAATTCCATGCATATATTTGATCATACTAGAAACAAAAATCAACCCAGTGATTTTAAGTGACAATACATTTTGGGACACACTCACTCAAGTAAATTTCAGAGCACAGAAGTATTTGGTTGCATATATATATGAAGCAATAATTGCATAACTGTGTAATTCTTGAGCCCACCAGACAGTGCATAATCATTTGAGATGATTTGCTTCTGTCCTTTGAGTGTCTGTTTTGAGGTGTTTCATCTCCATTTTCTTATAAAACAATACAACACGCATACACAATTGGATTTACAACTTTTGCCAAATTAATATTTTTTCTTCCCGATTAACTCCTCGGTTGCATTTGCCCTATGTTTTGAGTCATTGCATAGGTGAAGCACCACCCAATAAGTACTGAAGCATTCCCTTCTACAAAAGTAGACAATGTATTTCTGTAATCTTCAAAACTCATTCTGCTGCTGACATCATTAGTCCTTAGTTTCATCTTGAGACAGACTGCATTTTGCTGACCCAGTCTTTTTAGAAGGCACTGTATTTAATAGAAAATAGTTACTTTTGACTACATTTGTATGAAACCATTTTCACAACACAGTCAAATATTTAAGTGATAACTATGGAGAAAATCCAATGTATGTTTACTATACTTATATAAGATAAACTTTTTATATAGCTTGTATTTTATTTTCTGTAACTTTGACTGCTGTGGGATCTTAAAGACCCATAGTGGCAGCCAGGAAGATTTCTGCTCCATTAGCCCATTGCTAATGGCTACCAAAAATCTATTTTATTGGTAGCCTAACGTTTTGCAGTAATGTGCACACTATAACATCTGGTTCTCTTGCACTGATAAAGTGTACTGGTGGACTGTGATTGAGAAATAAAAAGTCTTACTAGAATTTTCTACAGCTTGTCATGTGTTATTTTTAAATGTATATACCTTTAAATGAAAAGAAAAATCTGCTTTAAGGTTTAAAATATGATTGAAATACTAAAGATCCTCAAAAACATTGACAAAGTCAAAGCAACAGACGGACATCTTCAGAGTCACCAATGAAAAACAAATCAGAAGACTTAAACTGAAACAACACAGAAGTGCTTCTAAATCTAAAAGACCATGAAGTATTTTTACACAAAGGGTTGAGAATCTGGAACAAGCCACTCAGCCATGTTGTTGAAGCCGATACCCTGATTTAAAAAACTAACTGGATCAGCTCCACAAATCAATGAGCTTTTGGCAACTAAAATGAACCAGATGGGCTGAATGGCTTTTCTTGTCTTCTAACCTTTCCATTTGGAAATGACACAGTTGTCAGTGTATTATCATCCCATCATTCTAATATAATGTATCAGGCCCCATGAATTATGGCAGTATTACTCTGAGCAAATAGTGGAATTGGTCTTTGATTTCAACAAAGTAGTAATTCTGTCAAAATATAGTCTTAACTGGATTTTACATAACACACAGTAAATTCTCAAAACAAAAACAGCAGAACTTCACCAAGATCAACTGTTATGCAACAAAATGCAATTTACTTTAATTCTTTGAAGTATTTTTTTGATGGATGCCATCTCAGGAAATTTCCTTTTAAGATTTTTCCAGATGGAACAGAATGAAAGGATACAATAATGTAGTGCTAACGGTATGTTGCCTTTACATTTTTATTTACATCTAAAATACTGTATCTCATGTATTGCACCATTGATTTTCTACGATTTTAACAGCTTATGTAGAATATCAGTCAAACAAACCACTGTAAAGTTCTGAAAAATGGTCAATTTAACCTACTAAACAATTAAGTAAAAGCTAGAAGTAAAAGGAAGTTTTAAGAAATAAAAAATCAAGTTATGTTGTTCTTTATTAAGTCAAAACAAATGTTAACTTGATACACTTCTGGGAATTATAAGAAAACACACTGCATTGTATCTCTGCATCTAGATTTCAGCACAAGCCTCCCAAGAGTCATAAGAGAATAGGATTATTATGTCTAAAATATTAAATTTCAAAAGGAAATGACAGAATAAAAACAAGATAAAATGATCCACATTCCCAAATTGTGTAATCTCATATTTTGCACCAAAACAAAAACACAAAACTAGGCTGATTTACAAAAAACAACTTATTTTATTCTGATTGCCAAATTATTTTTTAAGGCAGGTATAAAAAAGAAAGCATTCAATATACACTTTACATAAAATTAACTAGATTACAGCATGAAACAAGTAACCAGGCAACGACATTAAAGTCTCTTCCTAAATGTTGATAATTGTAAACATTTAAAAGACTGCAGGACTATTCAAGTAATAGAACAATCACAAATGTCTTCAGCTATGCAGGCTATTGGGGGTAAACTGCCATTCAAAGTCATAAAAAAACTAGATACTTTACATAAACTTATAATCTGCCATTTAAAATCTATACAGTATATACACCACAGTTTTATGGTACTGGCACCCAGAGCCCTCAAAATGAAGATTCTTCACAAGACACATTAACAAACAGATGAATACAGTCAAATTTATACAAATGCAATTTTAAATAATACAAAGCCAAGGAGCCACTAGATAGTACACATTTACATTGTACCAAGGTGTCACTTTAACAGCTAGCCTCTCTGAGGGCATGTAAGGAATATTACAATATTACATACGGTCAGGCACACCAATACAGAACAATATTTTTTCTATACATTTTTTTTAACAAAGTGGCTATTTTGTGGCAAACACACTTCCTTTTCTCTGGTTGCCACTAGCAGCTGATCCTGCATGTGTGAGCCTGGTTACTGTTATAAAATAAAGAGTTAAGAATATATATTTCAACAAAAGTTTAATTACAGCAACATTGGTAACTCTTATAAAATCTTGAATTAAAAAAAATGAAATTACTTTTTTTTTTGCCTGCCATCAAGGCAATCAATAACACCATGGAACTGATGTCTATATTAAAGTGTATCTTCATGTGATCCAGTCACATGTCTCTTATGTACAAGTCGTCCAATCATTCCCTGCAAAAAAGGAATAACACAAATGTTTACGTTAATACTACATTACATGGTAATTATGAATACTGTCTGATGTCACATGAATTCAAGTTTATTTAAGAGTGATTTAGAAGTACAAACTTATGAGTTTCAAATATAACAAAATTAACCTATTGATATGAATGCTAGGAATAATTAAAATGCTTTGATAATGTACACTATAGTAGCAGTATTATGGGCTCCTATGAATTTACCAGATAATTTACAAATGAAGCTGCGAAGGATAATCATATATCACATATGCAAATTAATTTGCAATAATGAAACCAAATCACTCCTCCCTCTGACAAAATCTGGCCTCAGAATAAAATAGATGAGCAGGGTATTTACCTCCTTTGTGTAGGAAATATGCCAGATGCAGAAGCCTGAGCAGCCACCTGCTGACTGGCTACAAGGGCTGCTGAGGTCAAACCTGCAGGGAGGGAAAATGGGTTCCTGGTTAATATCCTTACAACTCTTAAGTGTGCAAATTCACAAATATCAAAGAGCAAGCCTAGAAAATTGCCGCCTTCCCCTAGCAAGACCCTGACAAACTTCCTCATCCTGGTAATCCACAGTGTTTGTTTTAGGAGGCTTATCCATCATCCCCCTCCCCCTTACCTAGTCAAATAAATGGGAATTAATTGCACCTTCCTCTAATTATCTGTTAAAAATAAAATCTAGAAGTCTCCTTCAATTCTGAGACAGGGTTGCTGGTCAGCATGTCTTTGGATTGAGTGTAAGGCTTTGATAAAAAGCCTGTGGGATGTATTCATTACATAGTGCACTATCAACACTCTTTTTTATGCCCAGGAGACAGAAACTATAATGATCGATTATGACACCATAGAATTCTGACAACAATTACAGCCTAATGTAAGCATAACTAACAGTTACATATATGAGATAGTTATTTTTATCTAGGGACTTTAGCTACATGAAATTCCCATGGAGGAAAAAGAGGGGATCTTAATATTATTTCAGCTTTTAAGAATTATTTTCTACAGCCATGATTCAAATAATGGTCTTATATAATCTGAGGGCATTCATATCTATTTTTAGGTGTGATCACTGAATTTGTTTGTGTGCTGTGATAATCAAAATATAAACTTATTCTTTTTTCCCCCATTTTCATATGAGGGTATGTAATAGTTTGTTTCCCGCTGCAGCCCTTGCTCTTACCTGGGTATGGATCATACTGCCCAGGTATTAGGGGATAGCCCATTCCTAGGTGTGTGTGATGATGTGTGTGAAGATGTCTGGCGAATGGAGAATGGCGATCTCTCTCTCGCTCCGTTTCCCTCTCCCGTTCAGGAGGTCCCTTCTCTGCAGGCTGGAGAGAAAATCAGAATTGGTCCCTTTTACCAATGCTAGTCGAATTACTTACATTCAGAACAGTTAAGAAAATAAAGGTGTGGTGTGTCTTTAGGGGGCGAGTGGGTTTTAACAGCCAGACGACATTTAGCAGCGTTTTGCTTTATACAAATGCATATCTTTTGAACAATGTCACAAAATGATCTGTGTAACTCCTACTCCAGTTGCATTCCTTGTGCCTGAGGCTCTTTTCTTAGAATGAGGGAGGGTACTGTAAACCACCCACTGACTATGGTTTCATTGTCTACTTGAATTTGGGGGATATGCGTTGCACACTTAAGTGGAGGAGGGGGAGGGGGATAGGGAGGTGTAGCTGGTGGTTTCAGAGATCAACATGGTAAGTTACAAGATAAGCACATAATTACAGGAGTGAGGACGGCAAGAAGGCTTTGATCAGCAAAACAAAAGAGCAGGACAATTTTCCATGAAGCACAGGAGCTGGTGATGAAGGGAAAACATCCCCATTTCTTTTATTTCTATTTTATTAGTAATAACTTTAAAATCTGTGTGGCTCATAAAAAAAATCAAGGTGTTTACAAGTTTGCCATCTTTATTATAAAACTTGCAATACTATAATTTCAGTCAGAATATATTCTTTTCCCCTATTGCCAATTGGTCAAGACTATTAAATATCGTTCTTTAAAAAATTGGAAGATAGCTGGTTTAAATGATAGAGTGCAAAAAATGGAAAGTTCCCATGTCTACGGCCTTTAGCCCTTATCTTCATGTTGTGACACAAGACTGACACTAACTCCATTTAACAAGGTAGGAATTAAGGAAACTGATGCGAGCTGCAGCTTTATACCTGCCCACACTATAATAAAAAGAGCAGTATTAGAAGGAAAATGAAAAGTCTGGTTACACTCACCCCAGGAGATTTAGTGCGGTACTGATTGGCATGCTGTTGCAGCAAGTCTAGTGCTTTTGACTCAGAAGCAGGTTTAGTGCTTATACTTGGACTAGTATTTGTTTTCTCCACCTCATCCCTGCCTGCCATCTTCCCATAGATAGGGTAATGGAAACCTGAAAAAACAGACTGTAATTTTATCCAAGCATTGATTACATTAATCTGTGCAGATACACAAAACCCTAACAAGGACAGTAATGTATCTCATGATAAAATACAAAATAATTCACCCTCTTCTTAAGTAAAGCCCGTTTAACATCACATCTCTTCATGTGATATAAATAAACATCAAAGCATTAAAAAAAACACAGGATTTGTGGTTTTATTTAAACATTTTACAGTTTGTAATGGGTGTTCTCTACTCTGGGTCACGCTGAGCACTGCAATACACTTATTGGTCTCAATTTCTAAGTGTCACAGCCATAAGGAAATTGACAGATTAAAATCAGCCCCACAGGTCCACAGTTTTGAACAGGATCAATTAAATTGGCCTCAAGTGCCATTAAAGTTTAGACCACATAAATGCTACACAGACTAAATAAGCAATATTATGATTTCCTTCATAATTTAAAACATGTTTAAGAAACAGACAGGAAAATCGGCCATTACACAGTGAGCATCTCAATTGAGTACAAACAGGAATACCCTCTTTCACAGTTGTATTTCTAAAATCTAAACCTATAACCCCAAAACAGTTGTTTTTTAATAGAGCAAGAATCTTAGGCCATAGTCAAAACCCGTAGGAGGAGATTTACAATAACTTTTTTAAATTGTGACCTAAAGGTCATGAATATACATTCAACAACACTGAGGTAGAAACAAACTGCTGAAGAATTAGGGGCTTGTAGGCAACAGCATTCAGTCTGCTTATTTTCATTTGGGTGCTTACCTGGGTAACTGTGCATCAGGACAGGGGACACAGCTCTGTAAGCTGGGTGGTTGGGATCATACATCTGCAAATAAGGATAGGCATGCTGGTACTGAATGTAGGACTGGTGTTGGCTCATGGGCGAGGACACGGCAACCCGAGCGTTCCTTGAGTCCTTTCCACTGACGGGTGTCCCACGCTCATCGGATTTCTTTGAGTCCTCTACAGAGCCCAAGTGGGAGTCCTGCCTTTTAAGGTCCTTAGGTTCATCCTTGACAGTGGTCATAGAGACTGTAAGGTTGAGGCCAGAGATATCTTTTCCTCCAGCCTTATTGGGACAGTCGTCTTTGGCCTTTTTTTCGAGCTCTTCTGTTTTTTGTTGCTCCATGTATTTGGCCTGATATGGATAATGGTGCCAAGATCGGGACTCTGACTCCTGAATGGAAATCAAAGGTTTTGGTCAGGAGTTGCATCTGATTTAAGTCCTCAAACATTAAAAAACAATATCCTACTTTTTTTTTTTTTGAGACCATCATTTTGATTAAAACAAACTATTAAAATCCAAAGATTGGTAAAGGTATACTTTTGAAAGAGGTAACAGTCCCATGTTAAAGGGGACTTTAGGGTTCTAAGGGTTGTACCTTTAACAATAACAAAATTGTTAATATTCAACAATCTATCTTTTTAAATTGTTGGTTCTACAGAAATATGTAAGAGGCAGATAGTTGATTCAAAAATACAAAAGCATATGGCATAAAATATAAAATCATAAAATGCACTTTATATAAACCACTGCTGCATAGAACAATTTCCTAATAACAATCACAGTTTAGCAATTATAGAACATGTATTTTAAACTGCCCAAGTACACAATATCCTTATATCAAAAGCTTTGTCTAAGCACAGTACACAACTGGGTATTATCTGCTGATGTTGGACCTCATCATGAAAATTCAATTTAAATTCCTTATTAAAATCATAAGATGACTTTGGTACCACTGCTTGGGGCTATAATAAGATTTTCAAACCTTTTCACAGCACTATTTGGTTATAAAGAGACAAATAATGCTCCTCATAAATTGCTTATAGCAGTAATAAGATTATATTTGAATGTTAATCAAAGGCACCATTTAATTCCCAACATTACTTCAACAGCAGCACAAATGGAAAAAAAAAAAAGATTACAAAAACATGCAGCAAAAGACCATTTTTCTCCAAACACAAAGAAATCACTGTAGCTTCTGTGCTTAAAACATTCTTCTGAAATAATTTTTGCCATTGAGACCGATTTCTTCAATATACATAAAATCAGCATTGAGCAACAGAAAAGTTACAGTATTCCCTAAGTCTCATGTAATCTGTCAAAAGAATTAGTGCTCCAAAATTAGCTTCCCATCCACAATACTCATAATAAACGACTACATGACATTTCTTCTTTTAATATCCAGCTTCCATGTCATATATATGGCAATCCTAAAAATCATGGGCTCTGCATTTATCCACTTTTTCCAATTACTTAAAGGTAGCTTTGTTAATGTTAAAATTATACATACTATAATTCTAAATAACGTGCTACACATTTTGTGGTATACCTCTGAACTATGAACAAGCAATCTATATTGAGGAATGTCTGGTTCTAATAGAAGGTAAATGCTTACCTGCTTAAACCGTAATGTAGGATCCACTCCGGTCTGCTTCATTGAATCCATAACAGATTTCATTTCCACAGCCTCTTTGATAAGCTGATGGTTTTCCATTTGCTTGGCTGACTGAAGATGCTGTTGCTGATTTGTCAGAATCTGTTGCTTCCCAGATTCTTCTGTTTTGGCAGGTATCCCAGGCCCACATTTGCTGTTACAGTTTTTGTTGGAATCTGGGGTGGGTGGAGCTTTTGATACTGTTGCTGATGGGATTGTCTTCTGTTTAATGTCTTCTTTTGATTGTTCTTTCTGTGGAAGGTCTCCTTTCCGCTCTCCTTCTCGATTTCCTTGAGTCATTTTTTGCTCCGCAAGTCGCTGATCCTCATAATACTTCTCATATTGTTGTCTGTAAGTGTTAGAGGCCATTAATGACTTCTGGTCCATGTAAAGCCCATAGGGATATTGTCCATAGTAAAGTGACTGAGCAAGTGCAGGATGCCTCTGTGTGATCACTGATTGGTGCTGGGCCTGTAAATTTGAATTGATCATTTCATTCTTTTTAGCATCCAAGGCTAAAGCCTCTGCCTTTTCTTTCTTTTCACCCTCTTCCTCTGAACCCTCCTTTTTGGACTTGTTCCCTTGGGAATTGCTACCATTTCCAGATGCAGGAGTACTGGGTTGTCCAGAGTGCATGTAATTGGGGGAATAATAAGGGTCATATCCATGGTAATAAGGAGAATGTGACTCTTTTCCTGGAGCTGCTTGGGCAGGTGTAGCAGGAAGGCTCTTGACAACACTTTCCTTGTTAGAATTGATCTCTGAGGGTGAACTAGCTTTGGACCTTACTCCTTCAGAACGACTGTCAGATCCACCATCATCAGCAGCATCTGAGATATCGGAGTACGCTGGACTATTTGTCTTGGTGCCAGTGCCATCACTTCCATTTTGCATTAAGACATGTAAAGGGGTCATGGGAGATTGTCCATTTACAAGTGTACCACATTCCAGTCTAGAGGAGCTCCCTATTGAAGGGCTGGGCGCATTGTCTGTAAACGTGTAAACCTTATCGGCCTCAGCTTTAATGCTGGCCATTCGACTCTCCTGAGACTCAGAAAGACCATTTGGTAGCACCTCATTTTTGTTCAAGTGTTCTTTTAAAAAATGACTGGGTATCTCCTTCCCAGCACTCTTTGAGTCCTCTATCTTTGCAAGCTTACTGTCCATCTTGGGGCTCCCAGCCTCTTTGCACTCTTTATCTTTCAACTTGCGCTTTTCTTTTTTCTTCTTGTCTTTAAGAGAGGCAAGAGCTGGGTTTACTGTGCTTGGTTCTCCCATAATTGTAGGCTTTGGTTGAATGGGCTTCAAAGGAGGACTCTTTGGTGTTGCCTGGACAACTGTAGTTGTCAGAGAGGGAAGGCCTGGAATTGTTCCAGTGGTGGTGGCTGTAAAGGTAGCTGTTGGAATTGCTATCAGCTGAGGTGGAGGAGGGGCTGGTGCTATAGGCCTGGTAGTTTTGGGCTTGGATAGAGATTTATCCACTTTCCCATTGTTTGCTTTTTTCCCCTTGTCTTTCTCACATACGCCCTTCTTATCAATTATACCCTCAGCTTCCAGCTTTGGCATCTCCGAAACAGAGCTACCATCTGAGACCACACAATTATCTAAAGCCACAGTCATATTAGAGATGATGGGCAGGTTATTCATGTCGTGTATATGTCCTTTCTTTTTGCCAGAACTCCTGCCCATTTTAGAGTTCATCACAGGGCTCTGGCCATTACTTAACATTTCCCTTTTTCCCTTTGGTGTCCCTGCTGCGCCCAAATTCCCAGGAGAATTTGGTCCCTTTAAGGACCCAAAGGTTGTATCTGTACATTCCAAAGCCACGTTTCCCAGGGACTCTTCACAGTCAGAAATTTTGTCTTCACTCTCTGGCTCAAACTCCAATTTATTTTCTGGGTCTAAGTGTGCATGTGCTTGGTGGTAGCGTAACCCATTGATGTGCTTGTACTTTTTGTTGCAGTTAGGATGTGGACAGTCTATTAGCACCGGAGATGAGCAGCCTTGGTCCAAAAAAGAACCCTCAGACTTTCCTTGAGGAGTGGTAGGAGTACTCCTTGAATTTGTCCTAACTCGCTTTCCAGACTTAGTGTCCTCTGAGCTTGAATTTAGATCTAGCTCCATAGATGGCTTGTTTTTACGTTTGTTATTAGCTGTCGGGCTTGCCTTGATTTCCTCCAGAGTGCAATTGGGAGGTGTCCTACGGCCACTGCTAGAGTTCAGACTTCCCCGCCTTCCTTTGCCATTGGCACCCCCACCGCGGTTCTTGTGCTGCAGTCCTCTGGCCTCTGCAAAACTGGGTTCAATACCAGGAGCATTAGCAACAACTGATCTTGCTCGCTTTCCTCTACCCCGGCCACCACGCATGTCAAGGTCACTTGTCGGGGATTCACAAAACCTAGAAGCAAACAAAAAATGTGTTAGATTTATCCATGTGATTACACTTCCATTTTCGTTAAATGGAGTTAGACATATTTTCAGTGCTGCAGGCAAATCAAGAGGGCTCCCAAGTAGCTTTACTGGTAAAATAGATTGCCTGAATGCTGGATGAGCAAAAATTGCAGGTTTCAGCCTGGGTTATGTCACTAGCTAACCGTAACTGGAATTCCCAAAGTAGTAGCGCACAACCGGGAGATCCCATTAGTCAGCCAGAGCTCTCTTGGCTCTCTTGGCATGTGAAACAGCATCCCATTTAACTCCTAGGAACTTGCTGGCTTGTGAGTTGCTCTTCCAAATAGCACTACACCTACTGCACAAGGCTGCATAGCCTGAGAAATGTCAAAAGACAAATTGCTTGAAGTTCGGCAGGTGAGTGATGTAAAAAAAACACTTGATTCCAGACTTGACGTGTATATGACAACAAATAACCGGGGATTCAATAAAAAAAATACAAGCAAAATCTAAACATGAAAATACAGCATCTCAGCCTGAACATTAGGGAAAAATTCAATTCAAATATACTAAAGATATTCTCATAAAACGTGAGGTAGTTGTATTTGCGGGTACTGCTTTTTGAAAACATTTTGAACAAAACATGAAAAAATGCAGGACACGTACTATTATGAAGGAATTTTATGTACCAAGGCAGCGCTGGCTATCAGAAAAAAAAATATAACTGAAGAAAACCAAGAGGCCACTGCACACTCAATCTGAACTGATGTCAGAACTTTGTGTGTAACTCTCAAGCAACAATCAATTTAACAGGTATGTACACATTCTACACCCAAATGCTGCCTTAAAAATTATAGATGGGTTAGAAGATGTGGCTTGATTGTGTTTAATAAATGTTTCAATTAATGAAGACCTGAAATGTCTTACAGCACCCTGTAACTGCTTCTGTATGGCTATTTGCTCAAGCTCTTTAATTCTCTAATATTGGATTCACTCAATATCTCCTTTGTTTTGTGAGCTTGGCATCCACCATTGTCTTTTTTTATGGCCAGTTATGGATACTCTAAAACACAAAGCCAAATATACACAAGAACAATGTGTACCTAATGCACAATAATGTGATGAATGACACTTTGCATGACAAATGATAAAATTACAGTATGTAGTGGTATTTATACAATATTTTTTTATATTTGGCAATCTTCCATCAGTGCCTAATTTATAAGACATTAAGAAAAACAAACAGACTGTTTAAAGCACCCTGTGCATTTGTGACAAGATTTTATTCTACAAATGTTTATATGTAGAATAACAAATTAATACCTTAACAATTGATCTTAAATGAAATAAACAATTTACTGAAGAGCTAGATAAAAGTACACAAAAATTGGCATCAACTTATGTGCTGGAAAAACATCACTCTTAATAATAGAAGAAGAAAAAATTCCTCAAGGAAAAATTCTTTTTTGATGATGATATCTGGTTACCTGGGAGGAGCCCAGTCATGCTTTGTGCAATCCAATAGTGTCCCCACATAGGTTTTATTCCTCCAAGTCACATTCACCACAAGGACACCTGTGAGTCAGAAACAAACAAAAGACAGTTACAGCTGGAATATACAGAAGTGGCCCGTCTTCAAGATTTACACTTTATTCTCATTCCATTTTCAAAGGCTGCGGTCTGTCTTCTTCCTCCTTTTTGGTTTCAGTGACCTCAAGTAAAGCCCCACAGGAAATTGTTTTTTTAGTGTGTAATCGAGATACAGCTGACAGAAGGAAATGGGTTTTCGCCACGTCCTGCTGTAAAACAGCAACACTCACCTCTTAATTTTGCTATTATTACACATAATTGCTTTTGCTTGGCAGGCAGCCAGTATATGCTGTGCACTAGTCAGTGGTGCTTAAAGGCTGAGAATGACCAGAGTCCATCTTCTCATTTGCTTCCACAGGCAGAGAAAGCAACCAAGAGGAACTTGCCTTTATCAAAAAAAGATTTACATAGGCTGTCATCTGCGTTTCTTATCAAAGCTAGCATTCAGAGGCCACTAAGCTTATCTTCCCCTTCTTACCAGACGAAAGGGGATTTAGAAAAATTCAATACTTTTTTTAAAAATGGGTTCATAACAGCTTGCCCTACAGTCTCTCTGCATTACAGATCTGCATCACAAAAACATAGCATTTATCATTCCCCTGTAGCTAAAAATCACCCATTTAGACGGTTAAAAAAAGAGTTCACAACCTGAGAAAGCCTACATATGAGGACCTAATAAGAGTTAAAATACGCAGTTTGTTAAATAAAGCATAGTATATATGTAAATGAAAACAGCTTCTTTTCATGACTGAAATGAACATGCAGATAGAGCTTTTAAATTCACCTTACTTTGAATAATATTCAATTTTGAAACACGAGGCATCACTTATTAAATCTCAATAATTAGCACTATTTTATATAAGTACGCACTACTTATAAATTTTCATTACTTTGTAGTACTGGATTACAGACATTGGGTAACGTCACAAAATATACACTGGCAGATTTCCACAAATCTAGATTTTAATTGGTTCTGAAGAATCTTGTTTTTAGCAAAGACTGTTTAAAATGGAAAGGGTGGTCCTTTAGAATAACATGCAGAGGTCATATAGCCCTGTTTACACAAGAAATAAACAAGTAATTCAATGTTGAAAAGGAGAGGGAAATACATGTTTTTAGTGCTTTAATGTATACCCGCTTGATTTTATGCATTTGGACTTAATCACACAGAAGCATGCACTGCGTATCACTAGGTTTTTTGTGAAAAGATGGTTTTCTAATTATAATTTCAACAAGCATTAGAAACAGCATGATTCCTGCCTTTCTTGTTCTCAACAAGCTGCCTGAGTCTTTGTATGAGCAAACTCTCATGTGCAACTGAAAAATACATAATTAAAACTGCTTAAAAGGGAACATGAAAGACACACTAACTCCTCCATTCAAGGCTAAAGTAATAAAATTAAAAACAGGAAAAGTCAGCACAGACACTTAACGTTTGTCTGCAGTGAAAGCCTTTTGTTAGACCTAATTCCCAGAGGGTTTCAGGTTTCCAACAAAAGCAGGCAGTCTGATTGGCCACATCCAGCTGGGAGAACTAAACCCTGATTGGCTGTCTCGAGCTCTGCACCAGAAAGCACAAAGAGCAAGTATCTTGGATAAATGAACAGAATGAATACGATGCAGGACCTGAGAAGTGTGTGCAAAAGGTTCATAAAAGCAAAACAAAGCCAGGGTTAGGGTGGAACCTGGAGTGAGTAAACGAAATCCTGGTTACCAAAAAGAAGACTGGTTAACACAAGATGTGTTACCAAAACGAAAAGCTTGCAACTGAATTGCTTCACATGTCATAATAGGAAAAATAAAACACAACCAATCAGTCCAAATAAGTCTTAAGCCTGGTGCACCAGAGTACATACAAAAAGGTAGCTATCAGATGTTTCCAACAATACAGCACAAAGAATATAAAATGTCTAAGCTAAAATTAGTATTAGAGATCCTCTTCATTAAAGACATTGAAAGAAGTACTAAGTGGAGTCTGACCATATCTTCTTTACAGTTACAAAGAACCTTTCACTGTTAAACAAATATCTTAAATGTTATTAAATACACAGTTTCAGCAAAAGGGGACTTTATGGATGTAAAAAGAACTCAATACACAAGCAACTGTATCTGACCTGAATTTACTGAGAAAATAAGATACTATTAAATTGGGCATAATATTAGGCATTTCAATTGCTAAGAAAAGTGGATTTTTGATCAATTGAGACCTGCTAGTGAATCTCATACATCAAATTATCCTTTTCTCTATGGGACAGGCCTAACAATAAATCAACACTGCTTACAGACAGGTGACCTTGGATAGCTCAGGTTTCAAAGCAAGTGTCTTCTTTCAAGGATACATTTCACAATAAGATTAACACTGTGATTAAAAAGAGTGGGCTTGGTTTCAGTGCAATGCTTTTTCCCAAATACCTACATTGTGACTCATTCAAAATTCTGAAACTTAATAGCCTTTGATAGACTAAGTTAATCCCTTGGGCTGAGAAATCTTTCCCTAAATCCTAAATTCAGTGCAAACAAAGGAATTAGCTCCCTAGATGTTATGAAACAGTACAAAAAAATAAGACTAAAAAGAAACACTAAATACCCTTATTTCCAATAGTATAAATGCATAATGGGCTGTTAATTACTTAGTGGGGTCACAAAATATGCAAGATCTGAGAATAAAAAATAATGCACCATTTACCCAAGAGTCTGTGTGTTCCAATATCTGAGAATACTGCCACTTCCATCAGTGTCAAATTCCCTGTTGCCTTTACTCTAAAGCCCAATGAGATGTATTGATCAAGGAAAGCTTCTTGGAAAACTAGACTCAGGCTTATTCATTACCATCCATTTCTTTCTTGTGTAGAGACACTTGATCAATAATCAATTGACTGGTCAGCTAAAACTACAGTACCTGAGGCTACATGAGCTCACTTTTCACAGTGTGCCCCAATGCTGCAGGAGTGATCTTGC